CAGACAAGAATACTAGAATAGGTTGCCATGCCCTCCTCCGAGGATCTTCCCCACCCAGGGATCGAACCCCTATCTTCTGTGGCTCCTGCATTGGTGGATTCTTTACTGCTGAGCCACCAGGGAAGCCTAATTTTTACAAACAGAAAAGCAACTGACCAAAAAACATGAAAAGATGTTCAACTGCAATGAAACTGAAATGAATTGAAAACAATGCCCTATTTCACACCCATCAAATTGGCATAAATTTTAAAATGTGACAATACCCAGTGTTATCAAGAATATGGAACAGGGGCTTGACTTCCACTGATGGTGGGAGTAAAATGTTCCACAAAACACATGAAAGAACAATTCGGTATTATTTAAGATTTTGCAACATTGCACTATATATATTTTTAATGAAGAATTCCTCTTCAAGATACAATCCCTGTAGAATCTCTCACTCTTATGAACAAGAAAACATGGATAAGAATTCTCACTGCAGTGTTGTCTGTAACAGCAAAAAAACTTCATGTTCATTAATAGGAATAATGAGTTAAAAAAACGTGGAATATTGCATAGCTTTTAAAATTAATGAACTAGCACTACAAATATCAATATGAATAACTCTCCCACAAAGCGCTAAATGACAAGTTGCAAATGACTACAAAGAGTATTATTTTCATGAAGTTTAAAAACATGTAAAACAATACATATATTTACATGTTTAGTATACATTATAACATAGTTTTTTAAATTCTTTTTAGAGAATGTTTACTTTAAGAAGAGAGGAAAAAGAATAGTGTCAAGTAGCTACTAAATATAGGTAATAATTCCCATTGTATCTTGAATGTTTTCCTAAGAAAACAAGAATAAAGTGTGACAAATATTAGGATTTGACAGAGGTGATGGATAGGAATAGAAGTTTACATTATATTCTGTGCTTTATGCTAAAAATGTTTCATCGTTTAAAAAACTACAAAATATATCAATTATAATTTGTAACTATTTTAATTAGGACTAGGTATTAGGATTTTGGAGAAGGAAATGGCAACCCACCAGTACTCTTGCCTGGAAAATCCCATGGACAGAGGAGCCTGGTAGGCTACAGTCCGTGTGGTTGCAAAGAGTCAGACACAACTGAGCGACTTACTTACTTATTAGGATGATTGGTACCATGTGAGCAAAAGAAAGTATAGGGGAAAAAACTGATGGTTATGGCTACCATGCTCACCTATAATCAAAAATTTTTTTAATTTTAACTTTTTACAAAGATTATAACCACTCCATGTGTTCAAGAATTGCCTTAACTACATAAATGTAATCAATTTAAACATATAAAGTAAATTTGTATTATCAGAGAGCTACCAATATCTATTTTTATATTAGGGTTTCCTGTAAAATTTCATTGGAGAAAAAGATTCCATGCAGAAAATCCTAAGCCACCTCACTGTCAAGTTATTTGAACACAACACAAGCCAAAGACGCAGAAATGTATACACTGAAAAAGTCTCCTTTTAAGATACAGTTCAGACATACTGTGTCTGAAGAGTTTTTATAGAGGCAGAGTTTAAGCTCAGCTTTGCGGAACACAATTAACTATATCTCTTAAGGAAGGAGATACCAAGAGTTGTTGAAAAAGAGCAAAAATCTATCAGTGAACAGTAAATGGCATAGAGGTAGAGACTGGCAAGAAGGACTGCCTGACTTGAGTAATGAGAGAAAAAAAAGATAAGCAAATAAGAACTGGAGTTAGGGAGCAGAACAGTCATGACTCGGGAACCAATGTCATGAGACTGGAAAAAACTGATAGAGAATATAAGGAAATGACATCAGTCCTTTTAACACCATCACTAAATCTTGCTGTTGTTGACTGTGTCCCTCATGTTTTACTTTCTCCTTGGAATCCCGTAAAAAGGCTGTCCCAACCAGGCTCCACCTCAGGAAACCTACACTCCCCCTTCAAGAGAAGACTCAGGGCTGGGGTGAGCGGAGGGATACGTGTGGGTATTTTCTCTTTTTTTCTCAGCACAGCTTCAGAGGAATTTTACTCAACAAAACAAACAATAAATCCAGATTAGAAGAACTCCAATAAATATTTTAAGAGCTCGAATGCTACCATACCTAGCATACCCTTCAGGATTTACAGGTTCTGACTCCAAGATAAAAACGGGACCTTGCCAGAGCTTTTTACCTCCTAGACTTTGACCTGCTTCCATCTGACAAGTCAAATACCATCAACTCATGACTGCCTTCGTAGACATCTTGACTAGCTACAGCCTTTTGCCTCAAGCAAAGGATTTCTTCTCCACATGAATGATATCAGAAAGACTGTGCACCCTCTGATGAGACTGCACCAACCAAAGGAAGTAGTTACAACTTTCAGGTAATTATAAAATGACCACATCATACACAGGGTAAGAGGTAGTTACTCCCTGCAGGTTTAAGTTCGGTCAGGAAAGTAGGGAGAGAGAGAGGCCAGTGTCAGCACCTGTACAGATACGGTGTATGCCTGGAGGTCCTTGTCTTCTTTTCAGGGAAAATGACTGTTGTAAATAGAGGGAAAATATAAAGCATTGCCTGTATTTCTAGTGTTGTATTTTTCACATTATATTACAATTTTTTTTTTTAATTTTTATTTCTTTTTCGCTGCTCTGGGTCTCCCGTTGCTGTTTGTGGGCTTTCTCTAGAGGTGGAGAGTGGGGGCTACGCTTCCTTGTGGTGCACGGGCTTCTCATTTGTGGTGGCTTCTCTTGTTGCAGAAGTTGCAGCTAGCGGGCTCTAGAGCACAAGCTCACTAGTTGTGGCACAAAGGATGAGCTGCTCCATCACACGTGGAAGCTTCCTGGACCAGAAGTCAAACCTGTGTCTCCTGCATTTGCAGGCAGATTATTATCCACCAGGGAAGTCCCTACAATTATCTTTTTATATGTGTATGAGTCCACCATTAGAAAGAGAGTTGCTTGAGGGAACACAAGTCTGTTTATTAAATCTGTGTCCCCAGAACTTAACACAATTTCTGATGCACAGTAATCACTCAATGCCTATTTGTTAAATGAAAGGTAAACAAAGCAATGACAAAAAAGAAACAATGGTAGTAAAAATCTGACTGAATCAAAGAGAGCAGGTGAAAAGGACAATGATATTGCAAAGGAACATTCCTGTGGACATCTCAAGTTAAATAATGACTTGCTTGTTGTATTACTTTAAATTTGAATTAAAGAAGGCTTTAAGCTTTCAAAAAGCAATATATAATTTTCCTTCTATGGTAGAGATATAAAGTCAATTTGAAATCCTAAATCATACCATTTTCTTTATTAATTCCAGCCACTTGCCTAAAAGAAGTTTACAATCAAGCTTTCTATTTTATTTTTAAATTGTCTTTTGGATACTGACTTCCAGTCAGTCATACTTAAGTCAACAAATAAGTACCTGAAGCTTTGGCTGATGGCACTGCCCATTAAATAATCTATACATGGTTTTCTGTTTTGTTTCTTGGTCTGAAGAGCAGTGCTTCTTTTACTATAGCAGTACCAAACTGTGATCTACTAAACCATGTTGGAACCTCAGGAGCCACTGAGGAAGAGGTTTAGAAAAGCAACTAGGCTTACTTTCACTAGAGAAGTTTTCAATCAGAAAACAATATGCTTCCAGGAAAAATCTCCCTTGAAGAGTTCCACAGTTCTTAAATTTGAAAATCATTTGTCTTATTCTAGTTTGCTTTTTCCTTTTTTTAAACTGTGACAAAACAAAAGTCTTCACAACAACAATAAAAAGTGCAGGTCTCACTGCAAGGAATAAGACATCATTAGGTGTTCCAAAGGCAGAGGCTGTGAGCCTCAGTGTGATGCTTCCGAGATTTACACCAGTCACCAATGTTAAACTACCAAGAAAAAAGCTGAATGAAATTATGGAAATACATATTTGAAAACTAAAAGGGTCAAAATAAATAAAATTTTCTAGCTCTCTGGAAATAGAAAATACTTATCAGACTTTTGAACAGGCACTTTTGGAATCACAAACCAAAATAGGGCACTTTCTAGACTTTTCCCATAATCAGAAAATTGTAACTATGAAACAGGTGCAATATTCTGTGATGTGTAATATTCAGTATGACTGGCAATTTTCAGCCATGCGTTTCATTACACTAAATCCTAAAACTCTACCTACATTAACTGCTGCTACAAAAACATCAATATTTACTTTAGTCAGCTTCAGTTACTGCTTTTCTAATGCCACAAGTAAGTTCTCATACCAAGCCCATCTTTTTCTCACTCCATAATCACTGAAAACCCCTCAACCAGTAAAACATCAAGTGTTCTGGATACTTCCGAAATCTTGGCGGTTTCTTTCTCATAACCTAGTATCTCGCTCCATAATCACTTAAGACCCCTCAACAAGTAAAACATCAGGTGTTTTGGACTGTTTTGAAATCTTCGGGTTTTCCTTTTCATAACGTAAGACAGAACACCTTATAGCACTTGCGCCATCCATGGGTAGAGTAACACTTCCAACTACCGTAAATAGTTGCTATCACGGCTCGGACGCATCTGGATATAAGCGAGGTAAAACAGGTTCCTTCTACTGAACGCGAACAAGTTTAAGTCTCTAAGTGTTGAGTGCCCTACACAACAGCGTCTGCTGCACCATTTCCTAAGCACGGGGCAGAGAACTGGAGGGCCGGGGGACACAAGACTTAACCAGCTCTAGTGGGACCTGAAAGTTTGTATCATCAACTCCGCAATTGCTCAATTAGTGAAGTCTCCAGAGAGCCCCAGGCTCCTCCCTATTCCTGAGTCTGCCGAGGGGAATGGTCCTTTTTCGAGGTCCCCAACCTCAGGTGGGCTGGAGGCACGCCCCAGGCCGCTGGGGACGCGTCGAGGTTGCCCACCCTCTCAAAAAAAATCCTGGCTGCGTCTGAGCGACGGCGCCGCCCCCTTTGCTAGGCTTTCCAGTTCCCAGAGTCGCCACCGCCCACTTTCTACCACAAGAAACAGCAGCCCAGGGCAGGGCCCAGCACTTACCCACATCTTGCTCGAAGGGGTTGGCGGTGAACAGAGGCATCTCGCCGGCGCCCGAGCCCTCGTCCCTGCGATCGCGCAGAGGCTCGGCAGCTGCTCGGGGCTGGAAGACCCGCGGCTGCGGCTTCCTAGACGTCTAGCTCGGCCCCGACCACGTCCCGGCACTTCCGCCACCTCACCTGCCCGGCTCCCGCCTGATGGGCCAGCTCCCGGCCCGCGCTCCGCCCTCAACTCTCCTTCTGGGGAGAGGTCCCGTCAGCCACGCGCATCTTCTCAACGCCCCTGTGTCCGACGCCCGCGGGGAGGAGGCAGCAGGCCTGGTCCGAAGTTCCAATACGGGTCAGGCGGTCGCCGCGGCCACCTGTCCATGGCTAGGACCCGAAGCCACGGAGCCGGGGACCTTCGGGGCCGGAAGTCGTCGCGTCTGGGACTGGTCGAAGCCAGAGGCCCGGAAGTTGCACTGCCGGCGGCAGCTTTTCTTGGGGTTACGGTCGTCCGAGGTTCTCCGCCTAGGACTGCGGGTTCAGACGACCAAGCTCTCTCCAAATTGGTTCCTTTCTAAGCTGTGGTGCCACACGGCCTTGGGGCCGCGGCTGCGTTCGCGTCACAGTCCCGTTGCCTTGGAAACGGAAGGAGTCTTGGTAGCCTGAGAGTCGGGGAAGGGTTTGGCTCCGCCCATGGCGCTTGCAGGGTGGCACTCTCCTCCGGAGCCTAAACTCCGTGGGAATAACCACCCCAGAAGCAGCGGCCGAAGTAACAATGGCTCTGTGCCGACTCCTCCCTTTTCGCTTTCCATCGTGGTCTCGCTATAAGAATACTGCTGGACTCAGTTCACTTCAGTCGCTCAGTCGTGTCTGACTCTGCGACCCCATGGACTGCAGCACGCCAGGCCTCCCTGTCCATCATCAACTCCCAGAGTTTACTCAGACTCATGTCCATGGAGTCGGTGATGCCATCCAGTCATCTCTTGCTCTATCGTCCCTTTGTCCTGCCTTCAATCTTTACCAGCATCAGGGTCTTTTCCAATGAGTCAGTTCTTCTCATCAGGTGGTCAAAGTATTGGAGTTTCAACTTCAGCATCAGTCCTTCCAGTGAATATTCAGGACTGATTTCCTTTAGGATGGACTGGTTGGAGCTCCTTGCAGTTCTAGGGACTCTCAAGCGTCTTCTCCAACACCACAGTTCAAAATAATATAATATATTAGGGCCAAAAATTCTTAATATATAAAAAAAATTCCTAGTATGTCTTGGGACTTCCCTGGTGGCTCAGCGGTTAAGAACCCACCTGGAATACGGGAGAAACATGGGTTCCATCCCTGGGTTGGGAAAATCCTCTGGAGGAGGAAATGGCAATTCACTTCAGTATTCTGAGAGATATCATGAACAGAGGAGCCTATCAAGATATAGTCCATGGGGTCTCAGAGTTGGAAAGGACTGAGAAACTAAACAATATAAACAACAATATATTATTTACTTGCTATGTTTTCTCTCTCTTTAGAATATAAACTCCATGATTATTTTTGTTCCCTGCTGTATCCCCAGCATTTAAAACAGTGTCCAGCACCTAATAAATACCTTTCAAATGCAACTGAACAGTACTTGACAACTACCAGTAAAGCCATTAGTTGAAGTGTGGACCCTAGTAGAGCTTCCAACTTATCAATGGTTATTTTTTTAATCCTAAAAATGACTTCAACATTTTAACAGCGGGCCAAACAAAACCATTTTACAACCTCTGGTATGAAGATTTGAAACAGATGAGAGAACCCTTATACATGGCATAATTCAGAAAAGTGGTTGCACTTTGTATCATAAAGATAGGTTAACAAATAAGGAGAAAACATTTGCAGGTGAAGAGAAGCTGATTTTTTTAAAAAAATTGAACCTAGGATGTTCAAAATATATCTGGAGATTTTCTAGGTGGATTTGTCTGGGATTAAGACAGTGTTGAAATGGAAAATGAGGCTAGATAGACATAAGAGGAAACAGGAAAGAGCTTTAAGGAATAAGTTAAGAATTTTTAATTTTATCACTCAAGGCACTAGATAATCTATCTTTTAAAGATTTTGAGCAGCAGAGGAGTACACAACAAGTTTCCAGATACTAATCTGACAACAGTGTGCATGATATACATTAAGAAGCAGGCCAGACAGCCAGTTTAGGAGGTTACTGAGGCACTTGAAGAAGAGATGTAGAGATTGTATTGAGGTAAGACCAAAGGTATGAGAATTTGCCTTTGGAAAGTATTCACATTTTAAAGAGATCCCTTAACTCATCCACATCTTTAATAGCAAACATGCTCAAGAGTCTCTAGGTATTTACTGTTCTGTGCCAAGTAACTCCAGTGTCTTGGTGAATTTAATTAAAAAAAATCTCTTAATAGTCACTAAGATCCAGACCCTATATTAAAAACAGGGAGATACAAAGATAGCTCATTGTTACTTCACCTAATGAAGTTATTGAAGAATTAAAAGATATGCCAATGGCAGTCCGCAAGTTCAGGTGTGCAAAATTTCTGTAGTATAACCTCTTTTGAGCCCTAGTCTCCCTAATAACAAAATAATCTCATCAATTTCAGTTGAATTCAGTCTAGGGTTTTCTGTTAACTGTTGCTGTTGTTATTTTAGGTTTACACTCTACCAATCTATATTCTTAATTCACACCACTTTCTCTGAATGTATACCAAAATCTATCCCCAGGTATGTTCTTCCAGCTCTGCCAGTACGAATTTGGTGGATAACTTTTTTGTTCTCTAAAAGGGTCAGTGCTTCCCCAGTCAGGCCATGATGAAACTTGACGCTGGTTATTGGTCTAGCAACACTAAAGGGGGTTGTGGGAAATCTTTTTTCTTTTTTTTCTCCCTTGCAAAAGATGAAGGAACGTGACCTCTTTTCAGTACTTCAGAAAATAAGGATTGAGGTAAGCAAAGAAAGCAATGATTTGGTTGGTTTTGGATCAAAAGGGAAATCTTGAGAAAGGAAAGTCACATCTTGGAAGGCGTCTTCCTCAGATGGAGCTTCTCCATGGTCTTCAGACTACGGGAGCCACTGTACTCTAGAAGGGTCAAGCACACCACTTCCGTGGGTCCAGGATACTGAGGTAATCTTATCAGCTTGGAGTTTACAGAGTATCCGTCCAGATATCCCCATCACCCTAGGTCTCAGGGTCTCATCCTTTCCCCTGCAGGGCCCTGACTTTGGTCTACACTCCGCTATGGGTCGTGAATTCACCCTTCTTTTAAGTTCTGGTACTCTCACAATTGGGCCTCCGTGGTGGCTCGGGTAGTAAAGAATCCGCCTGCAATGTGGAAGACCTGGGTTTGATCCCTGGGTTGGGAAGACCCGCTGATGGAGAGCATGACTATCCACTCCAGTATTCTTGCCTGTAGCATCCCCATGGACAGAGAAACCTGGCAGGCTACAGCCCATGGTGTCGCAAAGAGTTGGACACAACTGAGCAACTAAACACAGTCTCACAATTGCATCCCAGGTGGCTCAGTGGTAAAGATCCTGCCTGCCAATGCAGGAGATGCAGCTTCAATCTGTGGGTTTAAGTATTTTTTAAATAAATTTTGTGTGTGTGTATGTTATTTTTTTTCATTTATTTTTATTAGTTGGAGGCTAATTACAATATTGTAGTGGGTTTTGTCATACATTGACATGAATCAGCCATGGATTTACAAGTATTCCCCAACCCGATCCCCCCTCCCACCTCCCTCTCCACCCGATCCCTCTGGCTCTTCCTAGTGCACCAGGCCTGAGCACTTGTCTCATGCATCCAACCTGGGCTGGTGATCTGTTTCACTATAGATAATATACATGTTTCGATGCTGTTCTCTCGAAACATCCCACCCTCGCCTAAATAATTTTAGATTAACAAGAAAGTTACAAAGATAGTACAGAGAGGTTTCATTTATTCCTCACTCCTTTCTCCTGTGGTTAACATCTGACATTTTCATAGTAAATTCATCAAAACTAAGAAACAAATATTAGTTCATTGCTATTAACTGAACCCCAGATTCATTGGGGTTTATTTTACTTGGAAAATAAACGTTATTTTACCAACGTTTACATTAATGGCCTCATTTTGTTTTGTTTTGTTTTTTCCAGAATCTGATTCTGGTGTGCCAGATGTCCCCAACATCACCACCAGGTTTAATGAGTCACTGGAACTCATAGGATTCAACATATAGTCACCTTCATGACTGTATTTTTTAACAACTAGAGGATATAAAACAGAATAAGCAAAGGGTATTACTTTGCCAACAAAGGTCTGTCTAGTCAAGGCTTTGGTTTTTCCAGTGGTCATGTATGGATGTGAGAGTTGGACTGTGAAGAAAGCTGAGCACCGAAAAATTGATGCTTTTGAACTGTGGTGTTGGAGAAGACTCTTGAGAGTCCCTTGAACTGCGAGGAGATCCAACCAGTCTTTCCTCGGGGAGATCAGTCTGGGTGTTCATTGGAAGGACTGATGCTGAAGCTGAAACTCCAATACTTTGGCCACCTCATGCAAAGAGTTGACTCATTGGAAAAGACCCTGATGCTGGGAGGGATTGAGGGCAGGAGGAGAAGGGGACCACAGAGGATAAGATGGCTGGATGGCATCACCAACTCAGTGCACATGAGTTTGAGTAAACTCCGGGAGTTGGTGATGGACAGGGAGGCCTGGCGTGCTGCAATTCATGGGGTTGCGAAGAGTCGGACACGACTGAGCGACTGAACTGAACTGAACTGAAAAGTTACATAGGGTAAAGTCTGGAATATGGGCTTCCAAGAGTTCTCTCTCAGGGGCGGCACACAGGACTTGCCTAAATCAACCCAAAATGTGTGAAATGTCATCTGCCAGGTAAGCTCATTGCAAATTCAATGCCCAGGGTTTTTTATTGGGGGCTAGTCACACAGTTACCTACCTAACACCCGCCCATATTTCCAGACTCTCAGAAGAAAAGCAGATGTTCAGCATAAACCGTAATGTTTGTACAAACACCTCAGGCACCAGGAGCCATCCTTATCAGGGATATTGTGGAAACTTTTCCCAAATCTAAGTTCCCAGATGCCAATCAAGGGTCAGCCTTACAAGCAGGCTTTTCCCTTTTTTGAAATTTATTTTTTATTGAACTATAGTTGAATTACAATGTCATGTTGATTACTGCTGTACAGAAAAGTGACTCAGTTTTACACACACACACACATTCTTTTTCAGTCTTTTTCTTTATGGTTTACCACAGGATATTGAATATAGTTCCCTGGCTATACAGTAGACCTTGCTATTTATCCATTCTATATATACCAGTTTGTGTCTGCTAACCCCAAACTCTCATTTCAACCCTCTTCCACCCTATTTCCCCATGGCAACTACCAGTCTATTCTCTATGTCCCTGATTCTGTTTCTGTTTCATAGATAGGTTCATTTGTGTCATAGTTTAGACTCCACATGGAAGTGATATCAATATTTGCCTTTCTTTTTCTGATTTATTTCACTTAATATGATAATCTCTAGTTGCTTTTTTAAAAATGTAACTATAATTGACTTTACAATACTGTGTTAGTCTTGGGTGTACAGCTTCAGATTCTTTTCCATTAGTATAGGTAATGACAAGATGTTGATTATGGTTACTTGCACTATGCAATAAATCCTTGTTGTTGATTTA